CTTTCCAAATGCACTGTAAACTCCTGGTAGTTTCTATCTTTCTGGTTGCCCCTGATCTAGGAGTTTAGAATAATTGTCCAACTTCACTTAAGTCTTATATTTTGTCCCTAGAGATCTATGTCTACAATTGTAAAAGAATGGACCAATTTCTGATTATACGGAGAACTGTCCTGGCACTCAGTCTTGGCGGCAAGAGGGCTACTCTGGTGCTGCCCTCTGCGGCCTCCATCAATCTCTGCTACTTTGCCATTCTCCATAGTTCTCTGTTTTAACTCCAGGAGCTGGGCATTATTAGATCAATGATTCTCTTTGCGTAAGGGCTACCAGGCTACTTCATCTGTCCATTCGTCTGCAGAGACTAAGCCTGTATTTTAAAAGAGGCTTTTCAGACTAAAGCCTAGCTGCACACCTTTGCTTTCTTGGCTTTGCTGCAGTGACAAAGCTTTTCCAACACACACCCCACTTCCCAGTCAGGTAGTGTCATTGAACAGCTTTTCTTTTAAAGTAATAAGGAGAATTTGGAAACAGTCCAAGTATGGAAGCCAATTTGGTGTAGTGGTTAAGGCACCAGGCTAGAAACCAGGAGACCGTGAGCCCTAGTCCCACCTTACGCACGAAGCCAGCTGGGTGACCTTGGGCCAGTCCCTCCCTCTCAGCCCTAGGAAGGAGGCGGTGGCCAGGGCAAACCCCTTCTGAAAAACCTGGCCAAGAAAACTGCAGGGACTAGTCCAGGCAGTCTCCAAGAATCAGACACGATTGAACGGATTAAAAAAAAAAAAAAAAGTCCAAGTATACCTGCCTTCTCTACAGTGAGTTTTAAGAAAAACAACTTAGTTGTACAAGACTGCAGAAGAAGCCAGCTATAGTTGGCCCTGACTACTATTTTTTTTAATGAAATTTATGAGCCCACCAGCAGTTTTTTCTCTCTAGGCTATAATCTGTTATGAACTCACTTGGAAGAGGACCCCAGTGAACTCAGTGAAACTTACTTCTGGGCCAAGCAGCATGTCCTTCCATCATTCCCAACAAGTATGGTTAATATTCAAAGCTGGTGCAAGTTTATAAGCCAAAATATTTAGACAGTACTAGATTGAGATGCTCTGGAGTAACATGCATTGAATTCCTATCTAAGAGAATGAACAAATGGCTTGTACCTACAAGTTGGGGGAGAAACACATGGCAGCAGCTATGCTTTCATGGATGTCACACAATTCCCCCACTCTGCCCCACTCCAGCCCTTGTTGCTGCGTGTGGGGCTCATGTTGTTGCTGGAGTTAGGACCACACCATCAATTTGAAGACATTCATACTTTTCACAGATGACACACAGGCAATAATTTCATATGGTGTAATTTTACTAAAGAACATTGTATACTGGGTGGGAAAAGTCTGGCAGGCATCTGGGCTTCCCTCACCCCCTAGGCAGCACCCACTGCTTGCCGTATCTGCTGGGACAATAAAGTGCTCCAAATGGAAAATGTGTGGGGAGGACCTAGCACAAGTGTGCATTATACAAGCAGAGGTGCATAAGTTCATCAGTTCCCTAATGTTCATCAGCAACCTAGCCAATCCTTGACTTCACTGTAGCTCCAGCCCCCTACATTCCTTGTGTAGATGAGCCCAGATGAAGGCAATAGCAGCAGCTGAACATGGCCTAGAAATTCTCCATGACCCACTCTCAAAAGGAGGACACACTTCCAAGCGAGAGCAGTTGTTGCTGAATGAGAACTCCAATATTTGTAGAAAGAACTCCAAGCTAACCTCACATCTGGCAATGCCCACCTCTTATTATCCAAGTAACGGTGCTTGCTTTCTTAAGAACTCTACTGCAAGATGATTTGCAAGGTGTAGCCTGTGATTAATTACCATCTGGACAAGGAAGTCACCTGGTATGTTTCCTCTCCTGTCTCTAGCAGTGTCCCACATGTCTGAGTAAGGGCTCCATCTTCACCTTTACAATTTTCCCCTTTAACTCTAAACCTTCACCTCCATCCTTGCATCACTCTTCACCTTTACATAGATATGGCCCAGCTGTGACTGCACACTGTCCCATGATTGTACAGGAATGCTGGCAGAGGTTAAAGTGAGACCTGGTTATGATGTACCATATGGTTATAGGCACAGCCAGCCAGGTGGTGGTGGTGTGTGGTTACTTGTACTGGCAGCCAGAATCGGACCGGGAAACTAGTTAATTGCTTTCGATAACGAATGTACATAATGCATTCCAGTCCAACAGTATGGAACTCTTTGGGGCTACGTGAAACAAATTCTTTCATACCAAAATGCTTAGAAGACTCAACTATCTGCTGCAGGAAGACTGTGCTACAGACTGGCTTGGAATAAACTGACCCTTTCAAAGACTATTTTTGCAAACTATCAGGCTGCAGCAAACAGGGAAAAAAAAAAGTATTGTAAATAAGATCTTGTGAACTATGGTATGACTATCAGTAATGCAATACAATTGCCACATCACAACTCAATTGGACACAAAATTGGTATCCCTGTATGCTGTAGCTACCAGGATCTGTATCTAGGTAAGTTTACACAGGAGCAAAAACTGCACAAGTTTTCAATGCTCCCTTCCCTCTGTATTTCCTCTCCCCCTCACATTCCTGCAAGCATACATGGCATGCAGACACACACACAGATGGAGAGTTTTGTCTTGTAACGGCCACATTCCAGTTGCTCCCCTTCCAGGTAGTAACACTTGAAGAGTAGTGAGATGTGTGTGTATGGGGGAAAGTGTAGATGTGGGTATCCCTGGGATTCCCTACTTCTAAAATAAGTCTCCAGAGTTTCCACCTGGATTCCAGGCTCCAGGGGAGGCAGGTGGACAGACATGAAGATATGTTACAAGGACTAGGGATTATGATTCCTTTTCCTTTCTTTCTTCTGGAAAAAAAAACCCCTTCCCAGCCAGCTGTACAGAGTCCCTACCCACCAGGTGCCCACTCCCCAGCTACCCAGGCAGGTCCCCACTCTCCCCCTCCCCAGGTGTCTGCAAGGTCCTTCACTTGTAGAGCAGGTGGACCCGGCTCCCATCACAGTTGTTGCGTCCCAGCTTGTCAGCCTGCTCAGCCACCAGGCAACGGACTAGGGGCAGGCTGGGCTGGTACAGGTTGGGGCCAGTGGCTGCTGAAGCTGAAGCCGAGTTGTTGAAATGGTTGTCAGCCGCACAGTTGGAGGAGCGCCGCCGGGATCGCAGTTCCTGTCGCTCTTTCAGCTGCTGCTGGAGCTCTGAGACACGCTCTTCTTTCTGTCAGGGAGGAGGCAGGGAAGGCTATAGGAAGCAATGGGGCAAGACCCCCAGCATCCTGGTGGAAGGGATGGAGGTTATGCACAGGATTATGTGCCATCAAGCTGGCATTGACTCTTAATGATAGATTAAGAGATAGGTAGATTTTCTCCAGGAGGATCTGTCCTCAACCTGGTTCTTTAGATACAGGGAGAAGGCAGCTGCAATCCTCCCCACCCAAAAAACCCACCAAAAACCAAGCTCACTTCCAAGGACATTACCCAGCAATCAAAAGGGAGCTCCATTCTTCTGCTGTTCTCTTTTATACTCAGTCTTGTGGACTGCTAGAATAGTATACTCTAAGAATGTTTCAGAAGGTGCTTATGAATAGTAAGCAGTGTTTGACCACATTCTTAGTCTTTATAGAAGGTGTGGCCAGTTTGCACCTCCAGGGTTGCATTCTCCACCAATGATCACTGAAAACCCTCATGATGGAGTTTCCTATTATTTTGAGGAAAGAAACTCCCCTCCCCCAAAAAGTTTGGTAGGAAGAAATCCCATGGCTTCCCATCATTGCTTTGTCCCCTGCCCAAAGCGTTCTCCCTCTGGATCCAGTAAAGTTCCCTACTGTGCATTATAACGTTGTGCAGAAAATACAGCTGGAAATGCAAGGACACACAGCCAAATATCACCCCATAACTGCCCCCCAACTCACGTACGCTCCCCACCTCGGCAATGATCTTCTCCAGTTCACGGTTCTCCTTCTCCAGCATCCGTGATTTCTCCTCCTCATTGTTGTTGGTGGAGGAGCCAGTCTTCATGGTGTCCTGCTGCTCGGACTGCCATTCCCCCCGGGTGATGAGGCGCCGCATCTGAAACGAGCCACACGTTTGCAGCTCACGGTCAAGAAAGGACTGAGCAGTGCAGCCGGAACAGGGAACATTATGATCTTGGAAGGCCAGGTGCGCCTCTCTACTTTTTCAGCCCCCCTCCTGAAAAGGCCATTTTCCGGGATGAGCTACAGAATGACTTAAACAGTGTCAGGGGAAGTACCTACCTTGGGCACAAAGAGCACAACCAGTGTGATGTAAGAGGAGAAGACAATGGCAAGTGAGGCAAAGGCAAAGGCAGCATCCTGTTGACTGCTGAGGATCATGGTGACCGGGGCCGTGATAAGACATAGCACCTACAAGAGGGAGAGGCTCCAGGAAGTTAGAGAGCTTGCACCGGAAAACACACCCAGGAAGTCCTACAGCAGTGTTTTACAGCCTTGGCAACTTTAAGATATGTGGACTTCAACTCTCAGAATTCTCTAGCTGGTGTAGGAGTTGTCAGGAAATATGCTTCTAGGTTTTAAGGCTCATCCTGCCCCTATGGCCAAGGAGAGATAATACCCATGATGTCATCCAACAGGACAAGATGGCTTAACAAAAACAGATGGTTATCACTGCAACACTAAACACTGAGAAGTAAGGGATCCTGACTGAGCTGCAGCCAGATGTTCAGAACCTCCTCTCCAAAAGTGTCAGCCCCATTAGGTGGACCACACCAGTAAATCAACTCCACAGGAAGGCTAAAACTACTTTTATTGAGATTGGCTATAATAACAGAATCTTCCAAGTCAGTTTGTACCTCCTACTCCTTCTTATAGTTCAGTGAATTAGGGAGGTGTCTTTCTGAGCCACTTCCAAATGTTATCTGGACATTCTGGACTTAGAAAATGTTTTGCCTCTTGTCGCCTTGGCAACAGAGTTTGTCTATCTGTGAAGACCTCTTTACAAAAAGAGATCTTGCATACAGCCAGTGTGAGGCAAAAGTGGCCAGAACAAGAGCACTGTAGTGTGGTGACAAATTAGAAGTGGCCCAGTCCCCATTCTGATCCCTGCTAATGCAGGAATGTTGGCCCAGGCCTTGTTTCTTCTCCTGAGGCTCTCAGGCTCAGGAGCAACTGAGCTTTTTCGAAGTACTTGTACTCTCAACTTCACTGCCAGACCCAGAAGGTCGACTGGCAGAGATGCCAGTAATTAGGAACAAGCCACTCACAGCCACGTTATAGATTGCCATGCCCACAGCTCGGTGGTCATTGATCTTCTCTGTGGAGACTCCTTTTGTCTCATAGGCAAGGAAGATGCCTAAAAGCAGTAGCAGCCCCTTGAAGCCATAGAAGATACCTGTGGGTAGGGAGAAATGTGAGGGTGGTGGAGGGGAAGAAATCCCAAGGGAAGGGGGGCAGTAGATTCTGCCTCCCTTAGTATCTCTCTCACTCGTTGTGTGGTAGCTCACTTCTTTTATGAAACATTTAAGGAAGCTTACAAGAAAAAAAAAAAGCAATGTGTGACAATAAAGCAAGAATTAAAAAAAAAAATTAAAAGCACAGATTTTAACAGAGCTTTAAACCAGCCTCCCCCCTCCCCCCGGCTAAATCTCTCAAAAAATTCATATAATCTATATGCTGGCCCCTTTAATGAGAGAAACACGGTTGGGGAAAAAATTTTAAACAAGAAAAAA